CCCACGAGTGTCAGGGGACAGAATCAGACCATAGAACTGGGGGTTTGCGTGACCACCCATGCGCACCCTGACCTCCGCCGTCTAGTGAGAAGCTGCAGGCCTGTCTCTGGGGGAAAGTGAGCATCTCTTTCTTTTTTTACACGTCTCTCTACGGCATCTGGCTTTTGTTAAATGCTTATGTTGCTGCCTTTCTCCTAAGAAGACTCCCTGGAGTTTTGTTTCTTTCCGTCTTCACGGCAGCCGCCCATCACCCCTCAGGCACACACGTGTGCACGCATGGACACTCTCCTCCCTGGGCCCCGGCAGGGCCTGTGGGCCCAGGCGCCAGGCTGGGCTGGGGGGGCAGCTGCAGGGAGGCCCGGCCTGTGTCCCCACTGCAGAGGAGGACGTGGTCAGGTGTGGGCCGCGTGCATGGTGGGAGCAGCTGTTGGGGAAGGAATTGTGATTCTTGTTTGTTTTATTTTTGAAGCATTTTTTTTTCTTTCTGGTTTTAAAAGTAATACAAGTTCTTTGTAACAAAAATACCTGGGGGAAGACAATAAGAATTATAATCCCGCCCCCCCCCCCCAAGAAAAAGCCGACCACGTCTTGTGTGTTGGTGTGCGTGTCTGTGTGGGTGACACAGAGAGCAGAGGTGAGACAAGGGAAGGAGGGAAGGGGGAGCCCAGACTCTAGAATCTTCCTGGCTGCCCTCTCCCAGAGGAGGAGGGCCCACCGGGAGGCGTGTGGGGACTGGCCTGGCCCGTTGCAGGCCTCCCCACTCCTCTCGGAGGCCCGTGTCCCACGTGTGCTGTCCCAGACCCTGGGGTCCCTGGTTCCTCGAGCTTCAGGAGCGAGGGATGAAGGGCGGGCACGGCGGGACCTGGGGAGGGTCATTCCTGGGGGCAGTAGGCTCCCAGGGGATCCTGGCCGGCCTCCGGCCAGGTGCATGGGTCAGGCCCTGTGGCTGAGATACCCATCGTCACGAAGCCGCTGGCCTGGTCAGAGGACACCGGGGCTGAAGTGCGAGGCAGTGACATTTTCACAACAAACCAGAAATCTGAGTGGAACAGAGAGGTTTCCAAGTGCAGGGTGGGCGCCTGCCCGGAGCTGGCTTGAGAAGACCCCCCAGAGTGCCACAGGGGGTGTCCAGAACGTCAGCCCCGGTTAAGGCGGCCAGTGTGGTCCCCTGGGGGCCCAGGGCCAGCTGGCTGCCTGTCCTCCCCCCTGTCCCGTGCCCCACACTTGGATGCAGGTTGAATGAGGTGCTGTGGGTTCCTGGGCAGCTGGGTGGGGGGGCCTGGGAGCTCCAGGTCAGGTGTGGGCAGACAGGGACGGACCAGCGCCTTGGAGGAGGGCTCCGCTGAGTCCATGGCGAGTCCGGTGAGTTCCGAGCACGTGGTCAAGTTCTAAGTACTGTGAGCGACGAGGTACCACCCGTATGTTAACTGCGCAGCCCAAGTTCACTGTCGACCCCCAGAGCAGAACCGACAGCGTGGGCGGGGCCGGGCAGTCTTCTCCTCGACACCAGGTGACCTCACGGTGCGGGTGGACCACCCCTCTCATGCCTGAACTCCGTGTTCAGCTGTGTGACCCGCGGGGAGAGCCACCTGGTGTCTCGGGACGCCGCCTCTTCCGAGCTCGCCGAGCACCTCTTGAGCCTGTATTCTGAGCCCCTGTGGTGATGCGCTGCCACCCTGTCCCTGTCCCCTTGCCCTTCACCTGGGCTGCTTGCTCCCAGGAGCCCTGGACCTGCCCATGGGAGCCGTTCACGTACTGCCGTTTGCCAACCTTGTCAGAGGTGCCGGTCGCCTGAACTAAGGACAGCGCGGTGGAGCCCGGGGGCAAGGCAGCCGGGGATGGGAGCGTTTATCCATGAGTTCCTCCAGGGGTCGGGGACAACATCCAAGACCCAGCCCAGCCCGGGGAGGATGGTCACGGCACAGGGCGAGGACCACGTGAAGGTCCTGGGATGAAAGCCCGGGAGGAGACCCGAGTCTGCAGACAGCCAACCCCCAACACGGAATTGAGGGCTGGAAACCCCAGAAGGGGAGGCCAGGGCAGCCGAGGAAACGCGGTGTGGAGGGATGGAGAGGGGCCGGGCTGGGCGCCTAGGCTGTGAGCTGGTAATAAATTCATGAACCGGGACCCGTGGTGTCCCGAAGGCATGCGGAGCCATGCGTGGCCTGGGCCCGTGCACCCCGGTGCTGGCTCGTTCCCTGTTGGCTTTTCCACACTCTCAGGCAGAGGCTGGCTTTCTTCCTTTCATAGACTGATGGTGTCCCCAAAAGGTACATTCAGGTCCCAGCCCTGTTACCTGGGACGATGGCCTTACGTGGAAATAGGGGCTTTGCAGCTGCTGTCGGGTTAAGATGAAGCCACTAAGTGAACCCTAGTCAACATGACCAGTGACCGTGTGAGAAGAGGAGACACCAGGAGGTCTGTCACGATGGGACTGATGGGGCTACAAGGCGAGAAACGGCCACCAGGACCCACGAGAGGCAGGAAGGTCCCCCCTCCACGGCCACCCTGGGAGAGCCGGCCCTGCCGAGGCCTCGATTTCAGACTTGCAGCCACCAGGCTACGGGTGGAACTTCTGGGGGTTAGGCCCCCAGTCTGTGACGCCTCTTTACGGCAGCCCCTGGGCACTGGCTACAGTCCGGGACACCTGCTGTCCGCTGCATCTCCACGTGGGTGCACGTGCAGAGGAATTGGGGGGCCCTTGGAGGCCTTGTCCTTCCCTACCCCAGCGCCACTGGTCCACGGGGCGTGGTCCAGAATCGTGGCACCTGGGGGGGATGATGGGATTAGGCTGACGGCTGCCGTGTGAGAGGTGCACTGGACGTAGAAGCCCTCTCAGACCCCCGGCGGGGACCTTGCCCGGCCACCCGCTTGCGAACGAGGGTCCAGGCTCCGGAGGCGCGATGTGCCTGGGTCAGGGGTTTCCCATGGCTGATCGGTCAGTCGCTTTGTTAGTTACTGACCAGGGCTCAGGTTCCGAGGAGATGGGCCTCTGCCGGCCACTGACGTCAGCCGGAGGTGTCTGGGGTCAGGGTGGGCGGCAGCGAGGACCGAGAGTGCCGGAGCAGCCCCACGGCAGCACGCAGAGCTTAAAATAACAGCCGGGAGAGAACCCACGCAGCTGCCCGACCGCACGCCGCAGAGCCGGACCAGCCCACGAGTCTCAGCATCTTTGCCGTGAGCTCCTGGACCCCCTCAGATGCACGGTTGCCCGTAATCACGTCTGTCTTTAAGGCTCTAACCACTGTTGTTACCAGAGACACACACCTCACTATCCATGACACTCTTCCCTCCGCTGCATTTATCTACTTCGCTATTTACGCGGCTGTCTATTTTTGCTGGTTCTTAGCGCAGTATATAATTTTGCGTGTAATTAGTTAGCGCACGGTCAATCACAGCCAAAGCCTTCAGGGAGGCGGCACTGGGGTGTTGGCCATGGAACAGGCTCTGCTCAGCAAGGGGAGGGGGTTCCCAGCAGGTCGAGGAGGAGGGGCCCGGAGCCCATATCCTTCCTCCCACACCTGTGTGGGTCTCCCGTGAGCCGTCCGTGACGGGCTCTGGGTGGCTGGCTTGGGGTCCCCGTGCACAGCTCCCTTCAGGCCCTGGGCCGGGCATGTCTGGTACCCACTGCAGACACCCCGTTGCCTCTTGGGTCGGTCACACCCAGACATGGCTTCCCCCGGGTCAGGGTGGCCTGGGCAGCTCTGGGCTGATGGAGCCGGTGTCTGCTCCACGCACTGTATCCTGCCAGCCTGGCCCCAGGCCGCGCTGGGCACCCGGAGGTGACATCAGTGACGAAAAGGCAGTGAGCCGCCGGGAGGACCCGGGGGGCTGCCTGGAGGAGGGGGCCGGGGGTGACAGCAGTATATGAGGAAGGACACCCAGGGCTGAAGAAACGGCTGCCTGGGAGCCCCAGGGAGCTGCCAGCTTCTCCTCTGTGGGGTGGACACTGCCACCTTCCTCCCCTCCCCGTGGGGACCGTCTCCTGGGTGTCGCCTCCTCGTCGTTCCCTTGTTTGGAGCTGCAGCATGCACCCGCGTCCTCTCTCCCTGCCGACCCCCTGCATAGCGGTGGGCTGGGATCCGTACGGGGCCGTATCCTCGAGCTGGGAGGGGCCTTCAGGGGCAGAGTGCCGCCCGCTTTCTCGCACTGTGGTCCCAGGGCCCAGCGCAGAGGGCGGCTTACAGCGGTGCTTACTGTTTGCGGAGGGAAGGAAAGTGAGGCCGCGAGTGGACGCCCCGGTGGAGGCTGTGGCCGTGTGGCCACACCGAGGGGCCACCCGGTGTCACCAAGAGATCTAGGCTCACAGCTCGGGGATGACCAGGGGTGCACCAGCCAGGCCCGGGGAGGACCTGCAGCTTCCCTGGGGCCAGCGGCCAGGCTTCCCTCGTCGGCACCCGCCATCCAGCGCCAGCGCTGCCTGCCTGGTCAGTGTGACTCTTCAGAGCATCCTGGTTTACAGGCAGGCGTGTCCCTCTGCTGGGATGCTGGCCCCCTCAACTCCTCAGAGCAGTGGTGCCCTCCCTGGATTTAGGAGTCACGTGGTGGGGTGAGGAAGCCAGTGAAACCCATGGAGTCGTCACCTGCAAACGAGACGGGTCCCTTCTCGGCAGGTTGGGCTGGTCCGGACACAGACCGGGGCCACTCCAGGCCAGCCTGGCCTCCCATCGCGGAGCCCTGTGCAGCCCAGGTCCTGACTCGTGACCGGGGGCCCTTCCCCTGTGACTCAGCCCTTCATTTCCAGGAGTGGCTGAGATGGGGCACGTTTACCGTCCTGTCGCCCAGGCAAGGCTGCCAAACCCATGCTGTAGAAGCGTGGAGGTCACTGGCCTGACCCGGTGCGTTGGCTTTTACAGGGTGGGTCTGACAGCGTCGTCTGGGGGGTTCAGATGTCCCTCTGGGTCCCTCTGCAGGCGGGTGCCAGGTGGGCACTCGGTGTGGTGCCGGCATGGCTGGTCTCCAGGCGCGTCCACTCAGCCCCATCTGTGCCTCTCTTGCAGGTCAGCTGGCCGCCGGCACCTGTGAGATTGTGACGCTAGACCGCGACAGCAGCCAGCCGCGGAGGACGATCGCCCGGCAGACGGCTCGCTGCGCGTGCAGGAAGGGGCAGATCGCGGGCACCACCAGAGCCAGGCCCGCCTGCGTGGACGGTAAGAGCCCCGGCCTGGGCGGCCGTCGGGGGCCACAAGAGGCTGCGTGCCCAGGGTCCACGAGATGCCCCCAGCCCCCAGGACATTCCACCGAGGCGCCCTGCTCGCTGGGCGAGGCCTCGGGCTGCACAGGGCCGCGGTGCCGGTTGTGCACCTGAGGGCTGCCTGCTGGCCGTGGGCGTGGAGGGCAGGCTGGCGGGGAGCCGGGTGCCCACGGGGCCAGAGGGCATTTCTTGGCCAGTCAGGCTTGCTTCGGGCAGAGAGGGTGGAGGCGGTGCCACCAGCGAGATGGCCCTGATGCCCGTGTGGTCTCTGTCTGAGGTGCCAGCGGGGCTCCTCACCCTGCGGGTCTGGCAGGTGGCAGGTGGCAGGTGCCCCAGGCTTCGTGACGTGCAGCGGGGCCGCCACAGGCTCCCAGGACAGCCGACGCGATGTGCCCGTTGGGTAGGCTGGTGGCACCACTGAGGCTGAGCCGGCTGGGGGACAAGACACGTCCTGTTAACATTCTTGCTGAGTTGATACTCAGGCATCTTGTGGGAGGTGGTACCTTTGGGGACCGTCCTCAGAAACAGACCCACAAGCCGTCTTTACAAAGCGGGGAGGAGTCCCTGTGGCTTCCATTAGGGCACCGACGTGGGCGCGTCCCCTGGTGCAGGAGACGCCTTGGGTGCTCTGCGGGGGACCTGGGCATCCCAAGGCTGGACGCAGCGGGGCCCAGCAGGGGTCTGGGGCGGGGCCAGCGGGTGAGTCGGGGAGGCGGCGTTGGAGCCGGGCCGGAGCCCTGCCCAGCCCCAGGACTAGAGCAGGGGGGACACCCCTCTTCTGGGCGGCCTGGGGGCTCCCGTGGGCCTGGCTGGCAGCTGCCCGTGTTGGTCCAGGCTCCTTGGGGTGGATGGCCCCATGCAGGGGTGTGGGGCGGCTGGAGGAGTCGCGGTCACCGTGGTCAAGGTGGAAGTCCAAGGTATCAGCCGGTCCATCCCGTGGGGGCGGCAGGGATGCACAGGGTCGCCCAGAGCTGGACTTGGACCCTGGCTCTTCTGGTCGGTCCCTCCCCTCCCCTACAGCCTCTGCACGGGCTCTGGGGGCCCAGCTCCCTGGTTCAATCTGCTGCCTCCACCAGGGAGTCCCACCGGCTCCCCTGCTCCGACCTAGGACGTGGGGGGAACCACCTTGCCTGCTGCAGGCGGTGCTGGTAAAGGTCACGGGAGAGGTGACGGGCGTGCTGAGCACAGGGCTGGGGCATCGTGAGCTCCTGACCACTCTGGGAGGCTCACCAGCAGTGCTGGCAGGGCTGCATCAGGAGCGAGGACACATCATCCCCGAGGGGGAGGCTTTCTGACAAGCCGGGTGGGTCCCAGTGCAGCCCCCAAAGGGAGAAAGGCCCGCAAGGAAGGGGCCCTCGGGGATGGGGCTGATTCAGGGACCCGGGTCAGTGTCACCAGTGAGCCTGTCCAGGACTGTCCGGGGACCTGGCCGGGGCAGTGAGTCTGCTCGGGGCCCGGGGCCTGGAGCTCTAGCCCCACGTGGCCTCCAGCAGGACAGGGAAGGAGTCGGGGACAGGCCTGGGCTCTTGGCCCGAGGGAGTAGGCCCGGCCCTCACCACTCCAGGTCCCGACGTCCTGTGCACCTTTGGGGCTGAGCTGGCTGCGGGAGCCTCACCCACGGAGCTTGGGGTGCCCAGAAGCACCCTGGAGGTGCACGGGGCTCCAGGACCACCCGGCTGCCCCCGGGACCCGCCTTGCTTCCCTCAGGCCCCTCGGCCACGTGCTACCTGCCTTGTGCTGCCAGCCCGGAAGGGCTCCCTGGGAATGTCGGGGGCTTTCCCACCTGGGGGATGGTGGGAAAGGACTGTGCCGTGGTGGGGGGGGGTGGAGGCTAGTGGAAGGATGCTGAGGCAGCTGGTGCCTTTGGAGGATCTGGAGCAAGGAAGCACCCGTGCTGGCGTCAGGTTTGTTTCTAAGAAGCTGTTGTCTGTCCTTGTTAAGAGCGTCTAGCCATCGGCATCCCACGGACGGGGTGTGATTGGACAGCCAGATGTCCATGCGCAGTGCTAACGTCCTTGCCTCTGGGGACCATCCTCAGAAACAATCACGGACAGGCTTTACCGAGAGGAAAAGCCTAGCTACTCCGAGGCCGCTCCACTGACCCTAGACTCTGTCTGCCCAGTGGGTCGCCGGTGGACCGCCTTGACCCCCAGTGAGCTGGGCTAAGCCACCACATCCCTATCTGAGGCTCCTGTGACTAGAAGCGGCCAGAGCGCCTTCTGGGCTGACATTGATGGATTCTTCCCGGCCGGGAGGGAGGGAGCGGGAGGTGCGGGCCGCTCCCCTCCCCTCTGGTCATTAGCTCTGGGAGCCTTCGGGAGAGTCAGGTCAGAACTGATTACTAATTGAATCTGGGTCTGCTCATCCGAAACCGCGTTCTCACCCCTCTCCTGTGAGCCTCCCCGCGCGTCAGGAGCTGGGTCCCAGAGACCCAAATTAAAACCCGGCCGTTTTCCAGGGAGGCCATACAAATCAGTTAGCTGGCATTTTTTGCACAGCGGGCATTTCCAGGCTGCCATCTAATTTAATTTTTGCCTTTCTGTTTTCTTGCTCTGTGCACATCATGTTTCCTCAAGTGTGAATCGTGCTGCTAAAGAGGAAACTCGGGTTGCATGGGCTTGTTTGGAATTCCGTAGGAACGGGCCTTAAATTGGGATGGTTTGTGCTGACCCTGTCATGTTTGGTAAATACGTGGGCTTGAAGTACTAGAGCCCAGCTGCATCTGTTCACGTGTTTATTCATTTATTTATTAACTTATCGTTCATTCATTTGCCCACTCACTCATTCTTTTGATCAAATAAGGTGTTTGCTCCTGGGTGGAGGAGAGCTGGAAGGGGAGGTTGACTCTTAGGGTACCTAGTACCTAGAACATGCAGTGCTGGGGGACTAGGGTCCAGACTGTGGGGCAGGGGCTGGGGGACCCCAGAGTACAGCCGTCACTTCCTGTCCAGGACCTTAGCAAAGTTGCATCTTCAAGGGAGCATTTGAGCAGGGTACCAAAGGATGAATAGGAGCTCACCAAGAAAGTACCTCTTTGTAAAAGGAGGGGGCTGGTGGTGAGAGGGGAGCTCCTGGCCGTGTTTCTGGGTAAACCGCACCCCCCCCAGCAGCCTGGACCCTAACCCTAACCTGCCTAGGGTCTTTCCAACTCATGGAACCATCAGAGAAAGAGTTTCTCAAACAAGCCCCACTATCCCTGCAAGGCTCCACGTCCTTACACACAAACACAGAATGGCACCTACCCTCGGGGCTGCCGCTGGTCGTGGACACCTCGGTTAAAAGCCTCCTCTGCTGGCACTGCAGCTCTGGAAGGCTCTGAGGGCCCCTCTCCACCGGTGGAAATGCGTGTGGCCCTGACGCCCCTCTGCAGCACCGCTGAGAGGACCGAGGCCCAGTCCCCAAGCCCCGCCCCGCCCAGTACACAGCAGGTCACCCACAGGCAGCTCCACTCTCCCTGAAGTGGCCTCCCTCTTTATAAAGGTAGGCTCTTCCTCCCATCAGCTGAATCCTCATGAAACTCTCTTGGAAGAGAACAAAGTAAAGAAAACAGCGTGGTGCCCAGGGGCCGGGCACGGGCAGTCGGGCGGGAGAAGAGAGGGTTGTTTCTGGAGTAGCACTGCCCCAGCCATGGTGGGGGTGGGGGGTGAGGGCAGGGGTCTTAGGCCGGGCCCGGCAGGGTTCCTGGGAGCCATGGGGTGTGGCGGGCAGGCGGAGTTCCACACAGGCCTGTCGTGAGGGCCGCTGCGGCCCTGAGGAGGGGGTCGCAGCCTAGGCTGGTGCAGTCCAGTCTGGAGAGGGTCCTCCTGTGTATGGCCTGCCAGGCTCTCCGGAGCCCCTGCCAGGACCTCCTGGCTGATGCTGTTGACCCCTGGCACCTGCTGGGAGCTGGCCTGTCTTCTCGCCAACATGCCTTTGTATTCCTGAGCGGGGAACTAATGCATCCAGGTCGCATCCCTGGACATCAGGGTCAGATCTCGTAATACACCGTTCCTTTCCGGGGAGCCTGGGATGCAGACAGGGCCCAGGGTGTTGGGTGGAAAGCCGTGGCCCCAGGCCTCCTGGGTGCTCACCAGCTGTGCGCACAGATTGGGTAACAGCTGAGCGTCACCACACTCCTCTTAGAGTGAGAGGAGGTGTGATGCTCAGAGGCTCTCTCTGAACTGATGTGCCCACCTAGGGAACCACCCGTCCCCCATTTACATTCTTCCCAGCCATGTATGAGACATGCATGTTCCAGACATGGCCTTTGAGGGATTCTGCTGAGGAAGCTGGAGCAGGGATGGCTGTTTGAGAGGGGTCTGTGTGCAGATGGCTGCTGTGGTCTGGGATGAGTCTGGGTCCCCACCAGGGACGAAGTGAAGACCTAGAAGGGGCACCTCATGAGTAGATGCAAGGAGTTGAGGGCGCAGAAATAAACCCTTGCATCGCATCAGCTGACCTTCATCAAGGGCGCCAAGACCAATGGGGAAGCGGTAGTCTTGTCAACAAGTGGCACTGGGACATCTGGATTTCCATGTGCAAAAGAACGAGGTTGGATCCCTGCCTCACGCCATATATATGCCAGCAACCTCAACATGGATCAGAGACCTAAATGTTAAGGGCTAAAATGATGAAACTTGTAGCAGAAGACAGGGGTGACTCTTTATGACCTTGGATTTGGCAAAGGATTCTTACATATGACACCAAAAGCACAAGCAACAAGAGAAAAATAGAGAAATGGGACTTCACCAAAATGAAAAACTTTGGTGCCTCAGAAGACACCATCAAGAAAGTGAAAAGACAGCCCACAGAATGGGAGAACATATTTGCAAATTGTGGATCTGATAAGGGACCTTCATCTAGAATATATAAAGGACCCCTCCAACTCAAAAATGAGAAGACAATTAACACAATTTTAAAATTGTCAAAGGATCTGAGTAGACATTTCTTCAAAGAAGATAGACGTGAATAACCAGA